TATCATTCAGTCAGGGACTACACATGGAAACTAGCAACCACAGCTATAACCTGATACAGTGCATCTTTCCTTCCATGGCTAATGCATGCTTTTGTCCCTGTTTTTTWAAAAAAAAGGTAACAAAAAATAAAAATAAAATTGGTAAACATGGAGACAGCCCAGTCCCCTCATCTGGTCACCAATAAATTAACTATTTTGAGAAAATGCTCATCGTTATACGCACACATACGTATACTGTATATATTAGGGGTACGATGATACAGAAAATTCACATTTGGCTCAGTGTGATACTTTAGTACGAAGCCGGGAGAAAACCATGGAAAAAAAATTATCAGCGAAAACATCCGCTCTCGACTTCAATACTTTAGTCTCACATTTCAATATTTTTTTTCATCATGCCCTTCTTAACTTGTAATTTATTTAAATGAAAATTTGTTTAACCTCAAAAGTAGTTTTTAAATGAAATGCTGCTGAAACAGCAAGTTTCTCAGTGGATCTGTGCTCGACAATGCAGCCTAGGTGGAGTAGCCGAACACAGATCCACTGAGCCTCCAACACAGGAGCATCTTCAGAAGACAAGTTGCTCAATTAAATGTTAAAAATCAGTATTGTTCCATACATAGTGTGTATTGAACCTAAAGTACAGTACTGAATGGGTAGATACAGATACATTTACCCCTAACTTTTTTTTTTTTGGGGGGGGGTCCCTTTAACTTAAGCTGAACAACCAGTCTACCCTGAACTAAACACAAGACCGGCAGATTTGTGAAATATACTGTATTTCATAAGAGGTTTTATTTAGAATTACAAACTGATTGTGGCTGTCTCACAAACTGGTCAAATCATTAAAATGTTATGCCTCATGCCTTTAGTTGATTCATTGGCCTTTTTTTTTGTCTGTGTGTGTATGTGTTTAGTCCAACTCGTGTTTTGATAGGCTTCAAATATAAGGAAAACCTATTAATTAAGACAACATTGCATCTCGGTATGAAACTTTATCAATGCTGATCRGAATGCACTGAGGATGCGTTTTCTCATTCCCTTCATATACGATTGTGTCCGGGTCTTTGCTTGCATATGAACAGCTTTGTTCCATMGATCAAGCCTCACAAGAACAAAAGCTCAGAGAAGATGAAAAGGCGTTTGACCCGGCTCTTTTGCTATAGGCCTCACTAAATAGMAGGGGATTTTATTGACTGCATTGCAGCAGCGCAGCCACTTACCCCAAGCCAGTTGTCCAGGCATTGACATCTCTACTGTAAGACAAGTCTCCACTGCCCAGGTGACCCGAAGGAATGCTTCCTTGTCAATGTGGGTGACAGCTTGTGTGTGTACGTTTGTCTCAGCCTGTGCGTGTGTGTCTCTGTCGCTGTGAGCGTGCATAACATGCCTGTGAATGTGCATGCACGCATCCCTGCAACAAGAAATCAATAAACCCTGAGGTTAATAGTGAGGAAGAACTGACTCACGAGCTCGACTAACAAACACTGGACTGTTAGCATAACCCCGGCCCACCTTTCTCCCTGTGGAAATCCACTGACATTGATTTTAAACCTCAGCCTGCAGTTCAGTCTAGTCTCACTAGCTTATCTCTGACTATGTAAAGCCTCCGCCATCAGTCCGTCACTCCAGTGCAAGCAGTTTAGGAGTTAACCCTCCAAAATCTGAATAAACCAAGGGCAGAGTTAGAGACGGTGCAAGGATTAGACTGAAATTCAATTTGAAGTTTGTCTCTCTGGCAGCAGGCTGGCAAAGCTATTGTCCTCCAGTTTGGAGGACTTGAGTTTAAAACCCCACTGTGACTCATTACTGGCAAGTTTTCAAACTGAACCTGTCAGAGATCACTTGTCAATCACATAGTGAACATGTTTAATTKTTCGTGAACTCTACTGTGAGAAAGTTTGTCATTTACCAATAAAGCTACATAGTGTTTTCAAACTAATAGACATTTGTTTTATATTTTTAATGTTATAAACTGGTATAACACTTCATTGAAAATTGTTCTCCTAAAAGTTTGAAGTCATCTTAATTGAGGTTAATAATAAAACTGGAAAGWTATGGTTGTACATTTAAAGCTAATGTCTTTTGTATTTCTTTTTTAAAGGGATCCACGCGTAGTTGTAACATTAGACTTTATTTGATAAACATATATTTTAAC